GAGAGAGAGAAGGAGAACGACAAAGAATGAGAGAGAGAGAAATAGAGAGAGAGAGATAGAGAGAGAGAAAGAGAGAGAAAGAAAGAGAGAGCAAAAGCATGAGAGAGAGAAAGAAAGGGAGTGAGAGTGAGAGAGAGAGAGAGAAGGAGAACGCAAAAGAATGAGAGAGAGAGAGAGAGAGAGAGAGAGAGCGAGCGAGCAAAAGCATGAGAGAGAGAGCGCAAAAGAATGAGACAGAGAGAGCGAGAGAGAGAGAGAGAGAGAGAGAGAGAGAGAGAGAGAGAGCAAGAGAGAGAGAGAGACAGAAAGAGAGAAAGAGAGTGAGAGCGAAAGCGAAAGCATGAGAGACAGCGCGTGGATTTTCGTGTAAGTGAGGATGCTACGCAAGCAGGGGGGTGGAGGAACAGAGTGGTGTAGGATGCGGCCGCATACACATGGCACGCCTGCTGCAGTACCACCAACCACAGCAGACCCCGCCAGCCGTCCTGCCACCACTGAAACATGCAGGAGAGCTCAGCACCGAGTGGCGAGAGGAGCACTCGGTGTGTGAGAGTAGGCACCGTGATGTTCCTGTCCCGGGTGGTACTGGTACACGTGCTGGGCCGCACCGTGAGACAGCACCTGCATCTGATGCCGCACTAAACCAAAACCAAACCGCCGTTAAATCGTTAGTCGTTAATCGTTAATCATTAATTACAATGCCCTCCTCCGAGAAAGCACACCACTCACAACGTGCCACGCACGCACGAACTCATGCACGCACGCACGCACGATCTCATGCACGCACGCATGCACGCACGAACACGCACGCACGTACAAAAAACACGCACGTACGCATTTACGAACACACTCACACACGAACACACGCACGTACACACACATGCAAGCACGCACACATACACATACAGACACGCATGCCCGCGCGCACCCACACACGCACGCACGCACGCACGCACGCACGCACACACGCACGCACGCACGCACGCACGCACGCACACGCACACGCACACGCACACACACTTGGGTCAGCAGTGGGAGGAACTGCACATTCCTCATCCTTGCAGTTCATGAAAGAGTAAGCCAGAAGGATCACCAAAATTCGGGGAACAGGACGTAAGCTCAGCGAACACAAGTAGCAGAAGTGACTCACAGGTATGCCATACACGGCATTTTAGGCAGACAAATTCTGTAAATACAAATCAAGTTACCATGGGACTCTAGCGTAACACTAACTACGAAACCTAACGTTTCTTTGGTAGTTGTTTCAGTTTTGGACTGGCAAGGCATTGCCTTAAAAACAAACAAACAAAAACAGTACAATTCCGAGTTGTGTTGTTAGTTTTAAGATAAATAACGTTGTTTAAAATATTCCCATCAGTTAAATAAACCAATAATAAGGTGAACATTGACATGTTAATTATTTTGTTTAAATAAAATATTGCCTTAGCATACTGGAGCCTCCACGTGAACGAAATACATTAATTACTCTACAGATACTTACCCTTACGAAATCACAAACAATAAAAAAAAAATTCCCCTAATAATTTTGAATGTGTATAGCTCTCACGTGCAGCCTGTACAGTACTGAATACATCTCTGGAAACTTAACATCAAGTGAGAGCCTACAATACCTCGCTGTTTTTCTTCCTGTGTTGGCCTAAGTTGTTCCATTTGATCTTTCTTATCCTTGATATTCTGATATTCAGCCTATAAATACAAAACAAACGAAAGATGAACGCATTCACACCCTTCATCAGCGCGAAGATACTATTATAATATCATGAGCGTATAATGACATGAGCGTATTTGTCATTATACGCTCCTGATAATATGCAGATATGCAGATTATGCAGATATTATAACAACCTTTCCTACTAAAACTATATCAATGCCAAATATACAGCAAAAAAAACTCGATAACAAAAATTGTGTGCAATAACTAAGCGTGATAAAAGCAACATTTTCTTCACATCACTCCTAGCAATTAGCACTAGTAGCGTTTCACAGCAAGTCTTTCACGTTTCTCATCCGCTTCCTTAACAACAAGGACATCAGCAGCAATTTCATGGCCTTGAAATGTGAAAATTTCTAAATTAACTGATACCATAAACTATAATATACGATTCATACGATTCAACGATTCATACGATTCATTCATTGCCACTGCATCTCGTATCTTTCCTATTGTGATAGAAGCACAGTCAGGGTTATGAACGAATCCTTACACGGTGAACGAAATGTTTTCTATTAAAAATATACTCTTGGAACTATAGATAGAAGTTATATAAAAGATCTCAAGTCAGAATAAACGCAATGTAAAAGGTGACTAACATCAGATCTCGCGGGGGAGAAGTGCGATCAAAACATTTGCAACTAGACAGAGTGCACTCACGGAGAGTGCATACCTCCGCCAGCCACAAACACACGAATAAGCCACGATATATGCCAGCGTACTGGCGTGTACACGCTGGCTTACTGGCTTGCTGCTCGCTCGCTCATTGCTGCTGCTCGCTCACATGTACATGCTCGCTGGCTCACTGCGCTGGCTCGCTGGCTGACGCGCTAATATCGATCGCGCGAACACACGAACACACTAACACACGAACACACGTACACGAGAGCGAAAACATAACCTCCTCCAACTCCGTTGGGCGGAGGTAATGATAGCTTATATGTGCACACCCGAACTGTATTCTCAACCAAGCTATAATAATATGTATGTAAAACATGTACCATACTTCTCGTTAATATATATAAAGAGTGAGTTTTATCACCCACGCTCCTTATACAGTGCGTGACAGGTCCACATAGCTGCACTTTATACAGCATGACTGTGTGTGTGTGTGTCAGGTGTAGTAGCTGTTGGCTGTATTCATAAGCTCTGGCTTTAATCACAGACAGGGCTAGCCACTTCTCTCAAGAGGTAGAACCAGATTTTTGGTGGATAACGCGTTTGGTGTTTGCTCACTGCCAAGTTTAAAGCGTTTGCTAAAAATGTAAACACGCATGGCGACATGCTTTCCAATCTAAATTCACACATATCCAAGCACGCACGCACACATATACATGCACGCACACACATAGGCACACACGCACGCACGCACACGCACAGATGATGTACACCGTTTCAAACCAACAGTAGCATCTGATTAAACGCTGTCGGAATTTGCCGACCCGCAAACACTCAGCGCTAATTAAGTGGGTCATTAATATTAGATGATCCCATCAGCTTACTTGCTTACCTGCATGCGTGACCACGTATAGTTAAAAGTTAAAGTAAAGTACCTGCACACACGACCACATACCTGACACAAGGTAAGCTGCATACCTGCACACACGACCACATACCTGACACCAGGTAAGCTGCGTACCTGCACACACGACCACATACCTGACACCAGGTAAGCTGCATACCTGCACACACGACCACATACCTGACACCAGGTAAGCTGCGTACCTGCACACACGACCACATACCTGACACCAGGTAGGCTGCATACCTGCACACACGACCACATACCTAACACCAGGTAAGCTGCATACCTGCAAACACAACCACATACCTGACACCAGGTAAGCTGTGTACCTGCACACACGACCACATACCT